GTATGTATGTATGTATGTATGTATGTATGTATGTATGTATGTAAACAAGTACTGCCAGAAACACCGATCAAAAGATCCTACTGACTTGGATTTCTCTTTGGAGGAAAATCACATTCCCAGTGATTTCTTTCAGGGAGATGTTGAAGTTAAAGGAAAGAGACACCTGATATTTGCAACACAAAATCAAATATCTCAGTTCAGCAAAAAGGTATATTTTAAATTTAAAGTTTATTTTATCTAATAATAAATTGTGTCTAGTCAAAAGTATACTTAATTTGAATGAATTAAATTGAATACATTTCATTTCCTTTTCAGATGGTTAATAGATGGAACTTTCAAACTGTGCAGAAAGCCTTTTACCCAGCTGTACACCATTAATGCCTTTATCTGCCACGATGACCATGCGAAGCAGGTACCCCTGGTATTCATTTTAATGTCTGGTAGAAAGGCACGTGACTACAAATAGGTAATTAATGAACTGCACCTAAATATATTAGAATTACATTATATACTTTTAGCTTTACTTTTTAGCTGATACGGTAAGGTCTTGGTGTGTATGAAAAATGGATATTAAATGGTGTGCAAATACTGAATCCCAAATAATAACTGCTAATTAAGATTCATGTCCTATTTTCACAATGTAGGTTTTTCACAAGGTGCGTGGTATCCTTCCTCATCTCAGAGTCAAAGGAGTGACAACAGACTTTGGGCAAGCTGCATGGAAAGCAGTAAAACAAGTTTTTCCTGTTGTTCAAATGAAAGGCTGTTTATTCCACTGAACCCAGTCACTGTGGCGAAAGGTATTTAATATTGAATAATCTAATAAATTATGTATCTGTCTATATTCATTCTGAGGATTTAAAAGGCTGTCCACGTAAGAACGGATAAGGCAAAATTTGACCCATCACCGATTTTCCTGATTTTCTTAGTAAAAGTCAACTATTATATGCAATGAACAATTATCACATTTATTTGGATCAATTCGGATTCTACCTCGCATTTGCATACAATCAGAGATCACGTGAGATAGCAAGTCACGAGACCATGAGCTCAGTGCGAGTTTTGACCTTCGAGAGTTCAGTCGTTCATTTTCAAGCTAGAATACCTTTTCCTTCAAGTTTCACAATCTGGGCAAAATTTCTTTGGAAAACCTAGACGATGAAAACGTAAACAGTCTTTTGAGGGACGATGATGACACAAACCTCATGGGAAATTCCAACAAAGCTGTAAAAACAAGTTCAACCGTCCAAGATGGCGCCTCGCTAACGGCGCAAGGATCAAGCTCCATGCCTGATATGAACTTACTTACAAATGCGATTCTGGAATTAACCAGAAAAATATCTGATGTGGACTCGCCTCTGGCCAGAAAGGAGTCTGGCAGTGGGAAACGACCTGTAAGTGAGGTCAGGAGGGATGAAGACTTAATTCCCGCCAAAATTCCCAAGAGGGACAACAACAAACCCTCCACATCACAAGGCCAAGAAACGCACTCCGTGAGTGCCGGGGCCGCCGTTGATGATCTTTATGACTCTGTTTTAAATCAGAGTTCAGGCCAAGWTGAAAATGGCAATGAAGTCGCTCGTAGCGATGAAACCGAGGATGAAATCCTTTCAGATCTCGTCAAAGAATACAAGTCTGATGACATTGTAGGCGAAAAGCTCAAAAGTGAACAGCTTGCTAAATTAGTCAACAAGATGTTCCGCTGTAAGCTGGCCGACAAAACTTTAACGGAACGCTTAGAGCGCCAAGAGAGGCCAGCCAACTGTGAAGCAGCCAAAACCCCCAGGGTAAACCCTGGAATTTGGCGAAAACTCAGAGAGGCCACGAAGAAACGAGACCTCCAGTTTTTCAAGATACAGCAATCCCTCATTAAAGGGATTTTACCTGTTCTACGCATGACAGATAAGCTTCTCAGTGCAAAAACCTTGGACTCTGCTGAGTGCCAGGATTTGAAAAAACATGGCCTGGAAGCAATGTCCCTACTTACTCATGCATCGTATGAAATCAACATACAACGTCGCCTACTCATGAAACCAGATATTGGTAAAGAATATGGGTCACTTTGTTCATCCCAATTACCCTTTACAGACTTCCTGTTTGGGGATGGTCTGCAAAAGCATCTAAAGGACATTGGTGACCAAAATAAAATTGGTGCCAAGTTTCATAACAATAGCTACCAGGGCAAAGGGAAATACAATGCCTCGGGCAAACCCAATTATAAGTCAAAAAACTACAAGGGCCAGCCTCGCAAACCCTGGAAGAACAAGAACCAGGACAACAAGTCCAGTGCCAGCCAATAATACAGGCACAAACTAAGCCACACACCTGCACGGTAAGTGCACCTAATGATTTTAAGGCTGGCAACCTAGTGAACCATCTTGATTCTTGGAAAAGACTTACTGGTGACAGAAACATATTGTCTATTGTCAGTGGCTATTGTTTAGAATTTTGATCAAAGTCCTTGTCAGTCAAGGGCTCCCAGGGAGACT